ATTTAGGTGATCTAGTCTATACTTTTGTGTTGTGTGCATCACATAGTAATTCTAGCTAATTAACCGGAATAAGAACACATAACGTTTTCAAAATTGGATATCATGGTAAGTAGAGGCCGATCTTCGGATCGGGCAAGGGGGGGTGCTCATAGTTGACCTTCCCCAATCGTGCCCATGTTCCTGAGCCGAGGCAACTTTGGTAATGACGGACACGTGGCCTTAGGCAAACGAGTCAGGGTTTCCTAAATTCCCCCATTAAAAAATATTTAGGTGGCGACTCTGTATCTGGCAAAGCAGTCCATGTTTGGCACTTCTTTTCTAAAAATCTGTTTTCTCAAAACGATTTGCCGGATTTGGACTCTTTGGTTCAGACTAAGAAACGTGACACAAAAGGGAGTCCGAACTGTGGTGGCATAAAGCCCGAGGGCGCGTCCACAGATATGAATATCAACTAACATATAAGGATACTCATGTCCTGTCTTCAAATTTCCCCCCTATCTTATTGTCATACTCGCAATGAACATGTGCAAAATAAACGATTCAATTATATTGCTATATATCGAACCAAACTTGGATTGAAGCAAAAATAAATATCCACTGAAGCAATGGCATGGCATGGCATCATACAAGTCAGAATCTACAAGCAAAAAATAACAAACTTTGTTTGTATATAAAAGGTACTACTTTTATAAATTTAAATATTAATTTTAAACTCTTTAAAAATAGGACTGAAACCTCTCTCTAATTCTTTATTATTAGAATTTTTACTTAACAATCTTTTCGTTCAATTCCATTCATTAAAATAATCAAACAAAATCAATCACATCGCAGTCCTATAACAATTTTTTACTTAACATTGGTCTATCAATACGTTTTTCTAATTCATTTCCTCAAAAGATTCACTTATTCTCTATAGGACTATCACAATATATGACAAACCTCCTCCTCTTCTCCCCCCCTCCCAAAAAAAAAGAGTCAATTAAAACAAACAAAAATGAGGCTCAACTTTCCATATATTATTTGATTAAAAATGGCCTAAAAGCATGGGGAATTTAAAAATCTAAATGCAAAACCCCATTAATTAATTAATTTATTTGAAAAGATTGAATATATCAACAGACCACCCATCTCTTCTTCAGCCCTCATTACGTTGTTATGTTTCCATTAAGTTTTGTTTGGTTATAAAATGGTTACTTTTTTGTATCAAAGAAGACTTGGGGACTTTGTAGTTAAAAAAAAAGAAAAAAGAGAAAAAAATTAAAGAAGAAAAAAGGTCTTGGGAACCTTTGTCTACTCTTTCATACCCCCCAAAAATAAAGAGAAAGAACTACAAACAAACAACATTTGATAATATAGGAGTATTTGTTTTCTTTAATTAATATTATTATTAGGGTATGAAATTTATATTAACAATTTCACTTTCAAATGTAGAAAACCTCAACCTATACCTAAATCTAACCCATCTTCCCAGATAATGAAATTATCTAAAAAATCCATCAAATAACACAATCAATTTTCCTCATAAATTAATAAGATAATCAATTTTTTTCATGATTTGAAAATGATAAAATAAATAAGACAACCAATTTTCATTATTTCAGGGAAAAATGTTCCCAAATGATAAAAAAAAAAATCATTAAATAAGACAAGCAATTGTCTTCATTAGTTGGGACCCAGCAACCATAATTAAAATAAAAAAAAATAAAAAATAAAAAATTTATTGATACAAAATCATGGAAATTCAACATGCAAAAAACCAAAGTAAGAGGAATAGTATTATATGTTCATAATATCTATATAGATACAAAATCACAATCCTAAGAATCGCAATTTCAAAATCCGTCTTATTTATTTATTACTATATATTCAGAATATTTATATACAATTGCAGTTCCAAAATCTATCTTCTAAATAGAATCGCAGCCCCAAAATCAATCCCAAAAATTATTACATAAATTCAGAATATCAGAGAGAGAAGAGAAGAGGGTAGCGACTAGAGAGGCGGTTGCGGTCGGCACAGTGAGAAAAGAAGACGAAGGGGAAACACCATTTGAGGGAATGCCATCGGTGGCGCTCAATCGGCGGCGTGAGAGAGCGAGAGGAAGAGAGAAGATGAAGAAAAAGCAACAAGCTCTAGTTTTGAAAATGAAGAACAAGAGAATGAAATTGAAGACAAAGAAGAAAAAAATAAGGAGGAGGCGGTGCGAGAGAGTGAAAGGAAGAGGGAGAGGGAGAGGGAGAGGGGGAGAGAGGAGAAGAAGAAGAAGAAGAAGAAGAAGAAGAAGAAGAAGAAGAAGAGAAGACATACCTTTGTTCTGTATTGTGCTGTGTCGTTTGATGTTTTGCAAGTGAAAGAATGAGATAAACAATATTAGGTTAATTATTTGTTTATTCACCTAAAACGTTTAGTCAACCGACCCCGCTACGTAGCTCGAAAGGCGAGGCTCGAGAGTGGCTCGAATTGATGAATTCGCTGCTCTGCTACACGGGATACACCCACAATTGTTCTGATTTCAAAAACAAAAAATAAGAACAAAGCGGAGCACCGTGTAGAGAGAAAGCTAAGCATGGTGTCGTCGTAACCTATCGGAGCCGTCTGGTCGCTGCTGCTGTTTGATCGGAGTGGGAGAGGAGAAAGTTTGTGTGCCGCAGAGCAATCAAAGTCTCCACTGATTTTGAACTAGTCTGTTCGTAACCTAGCGGAACCGTCTCTTTGTGGCGTCGCTACTGCTGTTTGATCGGAGTGGAAGAGGACGAAGCTTGTGTGCAAATCGGACTATCCACTGAGTTGTGGATAAGGTATTTCCTCTTGGCGTTTTATTTCCCCTTGTGCCATTCCTCTTCCATTGCTCTGTGATTGTTGCTGCCATGGCTGCCATGTCTGGTAGCTAAACTAAAATATTCATCAATAATAAAATATGAATTCTTGGATGAAGCTTGTGTGCAAATCCCTACTGCTGTTTGTTCTTGGTTTATTCATCAATAATAAAATGTGAATTCAAAGCGTGGAATGTTGGGGGCTCCTTAGCATGATTTTGTGTTCGGTCAACTTTCATTTATTGATCAAATGTAAAATGGGAAGCTTTATAAAGTGAGATTAAAATGGTTGAAAGAAAAAGTTAACCAAATTGGTGAAATTAAATGACAGTTCCAAGAGACTGATATCACTGCAATGTAAAAGGAGGGTTAGATATGTGGGATCAATGAGATGGGTAGAATTGTATCTCATTTTTGGTTGAGTAGACCCACATTAAACTTTACCTCATTTTTTACATCAAATTCTGCACTGTTAGCATGTCTATATTAGTAAACTGTACCTCATTTTTGCTATTTCCTCACTGTTAGAATGTCTATATATTAGTAATATTTTTTTTTTTTACATCAATTTTTTTTTTCTTTTGACATCAAATTTCATCATATATATTAGTAATCATATTTTTTTGACATCAAATCTGCACTTTGAGAAAAAATTAGTATTAGTAATCATATTTCCTCACTGAGCTGATATTAATAGTGTTATGAGATTATTGTTAAGATGAATGTAAAAAATTAGCATATTGAGATGTGGCTGCTCATCCATGGCATGGCTGCCCTTACTTGACCCTTTGTTTCAAATGCAAATGCAACTTAAAATTCATTCTACTTGCCTCCTTTGAAATTGCAACTAACAATGTCTATTGTATTTAACTTTGAAGCTACAATGGATATTGATTCAAACAATAATTCATTGAATGGGAGTGAGGAAGTTGAAGAACAGGATAACAATCTTTATATTAACGAAAGTGGTGAAGTTGAAGAACCCAAGAAAGGGATGTATTTTAGCTTAAAACAAGAAGCGTACGCATTTTATGCAAAATATGCGAAACATTGTGGATTTGCTATAGCTTTTAGATCACAAAATCTAACAAGTGATGGGGAAGTGAAGTATTTTGGAATTGAATGTACTCGGGCGAGGTTCAGAACAAAAAGATCATAAATAAATCCCTTAGAACCATCTTTGTCATCAAAAATTGATTGTAAAGCAAGTGTCAGAGCTAGCCTACAAAATGATGGCAGATATAAGTTAACCACAGTTGTGCTTGAGCACACTCATGATTTGAATCCTACTGACTCACGACATTTTGCAATGAATAAGAGGATTCTTAATCCGGTGAAGAAAAGACTAGAAGTGAACGATGCAGCAGGGATTGGGGTGGCAAGGAATTTTCATTCCATGGTTGTTGAAGCAGGGGGATATGAGGCATTGACGTTTGATGAACGAGATGCAAGGAATTATATTGAGAAGGCTAGAAGATTGAGACTTGGGCTAGGAGACGCCGAATCAGTTACACTTTATTTCCATAAAATGCAATAACAAAATTCGAACTTCTATTCGGCAATTGACCTTGATGAAGATGGTCGCGTGCGAAACTTGTTTTGGGCAGATGCAAGGAGTAAGGCGGCTTATAAAGCATTTGGGGATGTTGTCTCATTTGACACAACCTATTTGACAAACAAATATGATATGCCATTTGCTTCGTTTGTAGGAGTTAATCACCATGGACAGTCAATTTTGTTTGGATGTGGGTTGTTATCTAATGAGAACACTGAGACATTTGTCTGGCTATTTAAAGAATGGTTAAGTTGCATGTCAGATGTGCCCCCAAAAGCAATAATAGCTTACCAGTGTAGAGCTATGCAAAATGCCATAGAAATAGTTTTCCAACAGGCTCGACATCGTTGGTGCTTATGGCATGTAATGAAGAAAATTCCGGAGAAACTAAGAGGATATTCACAATATGAAGGCATAAAGGTTGCTTTGCAAAATGCTGTTTATGATTCATTTACAAAAGATGAATTTGAGGGAAATTGGCTTGCAATGGTTACAAAATTCAATATGAATGATAACGAGTGGTTAGGGGTATTATACCGTGAGCGACATAGGTGGATTCTTGCCTATGTGAAAGATATATTTTGGGCTGGCATGTCAACTACCGGTAGAAGTAAGAGCATGAATGCATTTTTTTATGGATATGTGAACTCGAAGACTACCTTAAAGCAATTTGTTGAGCGATATTGAGAAGTACGGTGGAAAAGGAGACAAAAGCAGATTTTAAATCTCGTAACCAATTGTATGATTGCCTAACGGTGTATCATTTTGAGAAGCAATTTCGTGTAGCGTACACAATGCAAAATTTAAAGAAGTTCAAGCAGAAATGAAGCGTCTAGTGTACTGTCGTCCGAATCTTACAAAAGAGGAGGGATCAATTTGTACCTATCGTGTGAGGGAGGCTATTCTTTTGGGTGAGGGTATGAAGAAAGTAGAATTTATTGTGTACTGTAATTCAACTGAATGTGAGCTCCAGTGTATGTGTCGGTTGTTTGAGTTTAGAGGTATTATGTGTGCCCATTCACTTAGTGTGCTCATTGAGAGGTCCATATATGAGGTGCCAAATAAATACATTGTCTCGAGATGGAGAAAAGATTTGGAAAGAGGGTATACATGCATTCCAACCACATATACTAACTTCGGGGCTGCTATAAATCCAAAGTTGCATGATTCCTATCACAAGGTGTTAGATGAGATCGTAGAACTTGCCACCAATGATGATGGTAAACACAAAGTGATTCAACTTGGGTTGAGGGAAATCAAGGATCAAGTGAAAACAATTGCATCAGGTACTGCGAGTAATATGCCATGTACTAGTACTGTACCACCTTCTACTAGTATTGTACCACCTTCCCATTCTTCACCGAAAAGTCCGCCATGTATGAATACTACAAAAGCAAGCAACACTCGCAAGGTACTCAGTCCTTTGGTTGCTCATCGAAGAGGCCGCCCATGTACGAAGCGGAAGGTTAGCAAGGTTGATAAAATAGTGAATCGGTTGAAGAGAAAGAACAAGAAGACTACTCCTGCACAGGTAAATGCTTGGCATAGGTTGTTTCGTAAGCTTTTTGTGGATTTATAGTTGAATGGTTGAAATTAGTAATCAAATTGTGTTACTATTTCATGATAGGTGCCGCAAGATCAAGCTTACTATGTTCGTTCTATGGTTGGCACACAAGGTAGTATGTATGTATCGGTATGTGTTGAATGGACTTAAAATATTGCACTTTGTATGTTGTTGGGTTTTATTTTAATGCTTTAAATTATTAATAACATTGTCTTACTATATAATCATAAGGTGCCACACGATCAAGCTTACTATTTTCCTTCTATGGTGGGCATACAAGACAACATGTCTGTACCGGTACATGTTCAATATATGAGTACACATATTTGTAATGATGAATGTATTGTCAATATTTTTTTAAAGCAATTTTTAATATGTACTTTGTTTTTATAGGCATGGGTTTGCACAATGAAAACGCCGGACAATATTGGAAGCACATCAGGAATGGTCAACAATATAAGCAGTCAAAGTTCTACAGTACCAGCAATATTGGATCCAAATGCCCCCTTTTATTTTTAGTTTTGCACTAGTAATTGTTGGCCATTGTGTGGCCCTTTGTGTTTTTGGTTAATCGTGGATGATATGTAATTTGTCATTTGCTAAAGATTTGATCCCATTTGTGATTTTCGTGTCATATGGTCCCATTTGGCATTTATTTTTGGTATATGAGTTGAACAATGTAACAGGTTGAAGTCCTTTAATTTGAAAGCTGTAGATAGATGTTTGACTTGTAAACAATGGATGGATTTTTGGTATGTGAGTTGCACAATCATGGATGGTTTGGTTTGTAAACAATGGATGGATGTTTGACTTGAATGGATGGTTTAGATAAGGGAATGGATGGTTTAGACAATGGATGGATGTTTGACTTGAATGGATGACTTGAATGGTGTAAGAAAATAATTATGATTTGACTCTTATAATAAAATAAATTTTAAATTTTAATTTTATTAATTTAAACTATAATTTTTTTTATTTTTAATCTAAATTATTTACATATTTCCATTAACTAAAACCTAAAAAAAATAGTATTTTAATCATTAAACTCAATATATGTATATATAGAATGTCTAAAATACTCATTTTTATTAAATTTAATAACTAAAACATATTTTTTTAATTAAAATAAAATTGAAATTTTAATATTTATTTTATTACAAAAATCAAACCCTTTTAATTTTCCCAAAAAAAAAAAATGATATGCCTCGGTATGGCAGTATGTGTGTATCAAACCCTCTAAAGTCACCATTGTTTCTATTTGCAACTTGGGTGCTCTTGTGGCCAATTCTAATACCCTAAACAGTTTTTATATTTTTATCAGCAGGTGAAGATGCCCAATTTTCATAATCGGGTTGGCCTGGTTTTTGAATGTACATGAGTTACACTTAACTGTCACTGGATGTATCAGAATCTGCATTTTTCACCGTGTCAAAACCACATGAACCAACATGAAAGACAATCTTCAAGCTACATTTGTTCGTTAAGTTTGCTTTCATTATATTCATGAATTTGGTACTGCTAAGAATTGAGTTTGTGGGATTTCAATAACAAAAAATTTGAGGGACACCAAGTATAGGTGCTTGAAGTCAGGGAAAACCAAATTAAGCAGTAACTGCTTCCTCTTTCAATGCTAGCTGATTCTGGATGTGTTGAGGGACAACATCAAACTTGGCTAATTGCATAGTGTAAGAAGCCCGGCCTTTTGCCATTCCCCGGACTGTACTGACATATTGAAACATCTCAATATACCAAAAATCCATTAGTCCGGCACCTGTTGTTTGTGCTTTCTAATAGTCACAACACAATCCATTAGTCCAGCACCAATCCAGCAAACAATCCATCATCAATAACTATGTATTAGTCTATCACAATCCAATCCATTAGTCCAGCATCCATAACCATCTATTAGTCCAGCACCAATCCAGCAAAATCCATTATCAATAACTATCTACTACTATTAGTCTATCACAATCAATAACTATCTATCAGTCCGGTAACATATATTCAAAAGCGTTGTCAAATTCCCCAAAAGCCAAGTCAATCCAACACAATCCAGTAACATATATTCAAAAGCCTTGTCAATCCAGCACAATCCATCATCAATAACTATGCACTACTATTAGTCTATCACAATCAATAACAATCCATCATAACACAACATTCAATTCATAACAACATTGAAGAGGTAACATATATTCTTCATCCATCATGTCTATTACATCCATAATTTCATCACGTCCAGTACATCCATAATTACATTCATCAAATTCCCCAAAAACTAAATTTTTAAGTCATTTACATTACAAAGTACAAAATGATACATAATACAATCACATAAATTATCGCCTTGAAATTCTTTTCCATCCTTTGAAGCCTTCTACCCTGCTCCTGAATGTTATTGTCCATCTCCGCAAGCCTTGTCATTACATCATTGAATTCCTCTGTTCTTATAGCTTTACGAAGTCCAGCATTTGAACGGATTGTGGAGGTAACGTCCTCATTAGCATCGTCTGCGAACTTGAAGTAATTGCAGTGTTCCTCCTTACTCTACAAAGCATGATAATTAGTTAGTCAGATTACGTAAATAATTTTTGATGAGAAAGAGGAACCAATTCTAAACCATGTAAACATAATTGGTTACTCCAAAGAGGAACCAATTCTAAACCATGTTCTGGATGTGCAATGTAGCCAACCATGATTTATCAGACTTTATGTAGTCTTTGTTATGAAGAAGGATGCATAAAGTGTATTGAACAAACATCTCAGATTCAGTTAGACAAAATTTCATATAGTCAAAGGATTTCCAAACAAAATTTCTTAGTATTTCATGCTTTGTTTTGTTTTATATTATTAATTTTATTTTATTACTTAGTGTGACATGTTATATAGTTATATATATTTGATCAAAGAGCTAAGCAGTCTTGCAATGTTTTTATGAGAGGAGAATTGGGCCTTGCTTCTATCATTAACAGAACTAAGCAGTCTTGCAATGAAGCCAAACAAAGGTGAAGAAGATCATTAACAGTTCTTAGAGGAAGATATGAGTTAGAGAAATGTAAAGCTGTTAAATTGACATGGATTGCCAAACAAAATTTCATACAGTCAAGGATTCCCAAACAAAATTTCAGCAGCAAACAATATTTACCACCATAAATTCTTGACCAAACATTCAGAAGCAAACCAACATGTAGTAGCAGAACATTAGTGGCAACAAATTCAGTGGCAAAGAATTTGTTGCCACTAATGTTCTGCTGCTACATATTGGTTTATTGGTGAAGTTTTTCCCCAACAATGTTTTCTACTAACATTCTGTTTTGCCACTGAATTTGTTGCCACTAATGTTCTACTGCTACATGTTGGTTTGCTTCTGAATGTTTGGTCAAGAATTTATGGTGGTAAATATTGTTTGCTGCTGAAATTTTGTTTGGGAATCCTTGACTGTATGAAATTTTGTTTGGCAATCCATGTCAATTTAACAGCTTTACATTTCTCCATCTCATAAAAGCCATGTCAATTTTGTATGAAATTTTGTTTGGCAATCCATGTCAATCCTTTGACTGTAAGAACTGTTGGAAATTCCTCAATTTTGAAACAAATAAGAACATATATGCATTTATATTTCCTCAATTTTGAAACAAATAAATTATTAGAAATTCTATGATATACACCCTCTTCTAATATTGATAATAGTTTCTATTTTGGTCCACCCTTCTTTTTCTAATATATGGAATGTGAAAAAGATTTCTTACTATTTGTTTTCTAAAGATATATGTATAAATGAATCTGTAAAGTAAAAACGAAGAAGTTATTATTTTCATGTGTATATTTCAAAAAATATATTTATTAAGTAAAACTTCATGCTGAATGTTTGTTTAAAAAATGGTTCACCACACTGATTATAATACATAATATCTCACAACTTTTTGCATATTTTAATTTCTTTATTTGCAGAGGATGCAAACACAGGTGATAATGGCAGTTTTCAGGAAGCTTTCTTGAAGCAATTTCAAAATCTTATCACCCCTATATTAGTGATTGGCCTGTTTCTTTCATCATTTTCATTTGGTCCTCGTGAGCAACAACAGGTAAGTTATATGCTTGAATATATTTCAGGACTTGGTTGTATGGGGCTTTTATAATCATAGACTCATAGTTAGTAGGATATATAGCTGAGTCGCATATTCAAGTTTTTCGTTAATGATATATATATATATATATATATATTGTGGTTGGTTTGCCTTATGTGCAATTTGAATGTAATTAAGATTTTTGTTTTATCTTTTTGGGCCTTAAAACTTTGGAAAATGATTCTTTGCAGATTAGTTTCCAAGAGTTCAAAAACAAGCTCCTGGAACCGGGTTTAGTAGACCATGTAGTTGTTTCGAATAAATCAGTTGCAAAAGTGTATGTAAGGAGCTCACCACGCAATCAAACAAGCAATGATGTCGTTGAGGGACCAGTTGTCCAAGGACCTGCTGATCCAAGCAAGAGCCAATATAAATATTATTTCAATATTGGAAGTGTTGAATCATTTGAGGAGAAGTTGGAGGAAGCCCAGGAAGCATTGGGGATAGATTCTCATGATTATGTTCCTGCTACACATACTTCTGAAATGGTTTGGTACCAAGAGTTGGTTTGGTACCAAGAATATATGTTACCTCTTCAATTTTGTTATGAATTGAATGTCGTGTTGTGATGGATTGTTATTGATTGTGATAGACTAATAGTAGTACATAGTTATTGATGATGGATTGTGCTGGATTGACAAGGCTTTTGAATATATGTTACTGGATTGTGCTGGATTGACTTGGCTTTTGGGGAATTTGACAAGGCTTTTGAATATATGTTACTGGATTGTGCTGGATTGACTTGGCTTTTGGGGAATTTGACAAGGCTTTTGAATATATGTTACTGGATTGTGCTGGATTGACTTGGCTTTTGGGGAATTTGACAAGGCTTTTGAATATATGTTACCGGACGGATAGATAGTTATTGATTGTGATAGACTAATAGTAGTACATAGTTATTGATGATGGATTGTGCTGGATTGACAAGGCTTTTGAATATATGTTACTGGATTGTGCTGGATTGACTTGGCTTTTGGGGAATTTGACAAGGCTTTTGAATATATGTTACCGGACGGATAGATAGTTATTGATTGTGATAGACTAATAGTAGTAGATAGTTATTGATAATGGATTTTGCTGGATTGGTGCTGGACTAATAGATAGTTATGGATGCTGGACTAATGGATTGGATTGTGATAAACTAATACATAGTTATTGATGATGGATTGTTTGCTGGATTGGTGCTGGACTAATGGATTGTGTTGTGACTATTAGAAAGCACAAACAACAGGTGCCGGACTAATGGATTTTTGGTATATTGAGATGTTTCAATATGTCAGTACAGTCCGGGGAATGGCAAAAGGCCGGGCTTCTTACACTATGCAATTAGCCAAGTTTGATGTTGTCCCTCAACACATCCAGAATCAGCTAGCACTGAAAGAGGAAGCAGTTGCTGCTTAATTTGGTTTTCCCTGACTTCAAGCACCTATACTTGGTGTCCCTCAAATTTTTTGTTATTGAAATCCCACAAACTCAATTCTTAGCAGTACCAAATTCATGAATATAATGCAAGCAAACTTAACAAAAAAATGTAGCTTGAAGATTGTCCTTCATGTTGGTTCATGTGGTTTTGACACGGTGAAAAATGCAGATTCTGATACATCCAGTGACAGTTAAGTGTAACTCATGTACATTCAAAAACCAGGTCAACCCGGTTATGAAAATTGGGCATCTTCACCTGCTGATAAAAATATAAAAACTGTTTACGGTATTAGAATTGGCCACAAGAGCACCCAAGTTGCAAATAGAAACAATGGTGACTTTAGAGGGTTTGATACACACATACTGCCATACCGAGGCATATCATTTTTTTTTTTTGGGAAAATTAAAAGGGTTTGATTTTTGTAATAAAATAAATATTAAATTTCAATTTTATTTTAATTAAAAAAATATGTTTTAGTTATTAAATTTAATAAAAATGAGTATTTTAGACATTCTATATATACATATATTGAGTTTAATGATTAAAATACTATTTTTTTTAGGTTTTAGTTAATGGAAATATGTAAATAATTTAGATTAAAAATATAAAAAAAATTATAGTTTAAATTAATAAAATTAAAATTTAAAATTTATTTTATTATAAGAGTCAAATCATAATTATTTTCTTACACCATTCAAGTCATCCATTCAAGTCAAACATCCATCCATTGTCTAAACCATCCATTCTCTTATCTAAACCATCCATTCAAGTCAAACATCCATCCATTGTTTACAAACCAAACCATCCATGATTGTGCAACTCACATACCAAAAATCCATCCATTGTTTACAAGTCAAACATCCATCTACAGCTTTCAAATTAAAGGACTTCAACCTGTTACATTGTTCAACTCATATACCAAAATTAAATGCCAAATGGGATCAAATCTTTAGCAAATCACAAATTACATATCATCCACGATTAACCAAAAACACAAAGGGCCACGCAATGGCCAACAATTACAAGTGCAAAACTAAAAATAAAAAGGGGCATTTGGATCCAATATTGTTGGTACTGTAGAACTTTGACTGCTTACATTGTTGACCATTCCTGATGTGCTTCCAATATTGTCCGACGTTTTCATTGTGCAAACCCATGCCTATAAAAACAAAGTACATATTAAAAATTGCTTTAAAAAAATATTGACAATACATTCATCATTACAAATATGCGTACTCATATATTGAACACGTAGTCTTGTATGCCCACCATAGAAGGAAAATAGTAAGCTTGATCGTGCGGCACCTTATGATTATATAGTAAGACAATGTTATTAATAATTTAAAGCATTAAAATAAAACCCAACAACAAACAAAGTGCAATATTTTAAGTCCATTCAACACATACCGGTACATACATACTATCTTGTGTGCCAACCATAGAAGGAACATAATAAGCTTGATCTTGCGGCACCTATCATGAAATAGTAACACAATTTGATTACTAATTTCAACCATTCAACTATAAATCCACAAAAAGCTTACGAAACAACCTATGTCAAGCATTTACCTGTGCAGGAATAGTCTTCTTGTTCTTTCTCTTCAACCGATTCACTATTTCATCAACCTTGCTAACCTTCCGCTTCGTACATGGGCGGCCTCTTCGGCGAGCAACCAAAGGACTGAGTACCTTGCGAGTGTTGCTTGCTTTTGTAGTATTCATACGTGGCGGACTTTTCGGTGAAGAATGGGAAGGCAGTACAATACTAGTAGAAGGTGGTACAGTACTAGTACATGGCATATTACTCGCAGTACTCGATGCAATAGTTTTCACTCGATCCTTGATTTCCCTCAACCCAAGTTGAATCACTTTGTGTTTACCATCATCATTGGTGGCAAGTTCTAGGATGTCATCTAACGCCTTGTGATAGGAATCATGCAACTTTGGATTTATAGCAGCCCCAAAGTTAGTATATGTGGTTGGAATCCATGTATACCCTCTTTCCAAATCTTTTCTCCATCTCGAGACAATGTATTTATTTGGCACCTCATATATGGACCTCTAAATGAGCACACTAAGTGAATGGGCACACATAATACCTCTAAACTCAAACAACCGACACATACACTGGAGCTCACATTCAGTTGAATTACAGTACACAATAAATTCTACTTTCTTCATACCCTCACCCAAAAGAATAGCCTCCCTCACATGATAGGTACAAATTGATCCCTCCTCTTTTGCAAGATTCGGACGACAGTACACTAGACGCTTCATTTCTGCTTGAACTTCTTTAAATTTTGCATTTGTGTACGCTGCACGAAATTGCTTCTCAAAATGATACACCATTAGGCAATCATTCCATTGGTTACGAGATTTAAAATCTGCTTTTGTCTCCTTTTCCACCTTACTTCTCAATATTGCTCAACAAATTGCTTTAAGGTAGTCTTCGAGTTCACATATCCATCAAAAAATGCATTCATGCTCTCACTTCTACCGGTAGTTGACATGCCAGCCCAAAATATGTCTTTCATATAGGCAGGAATCCACCTATGTCACTCACGGTATAATACCCTAACCACTCGTTATCATTCACATTGAATTTTGTAACCATTGCAAGCCAATTTCCCTCAAATTCATCTTTCGTGAATGAATCATAAACAACATTTTGCAAAGCAACCTTTATGCCTTCATATTGTGAATATCCTCTTAGTTTCTCCGGAATTTTCTTCATTACATGCCATAAGCACCAACGATGTCGAGCCTGTGGGAAAACTATTTCTATGGCATGTTGCATAGCTCTACACTGGTCAGCTATTATTGCTTTTGGGGGCACGTCTGACATGCAACTTAACCATTCTTTGAATAGCCAGACAAATGTCTCAGTGTTCTCATTAGATAACAACCCACATCCAAACAAAATTGACTATCCATGGTGATTAACTCCTACAAACGGAGCAAATGGCATATCATATTTGTTTGTCAAATAGGTTGTGTCAAATGAGACAACATCCCCAAATGCTTTATAAGCCGCCCTACTCCTTGCATCTGCCCAAAACAAGTTTCGCATGCGACCATCTTCATCAAGGTCAATTGCCAAATAGAAGTTCGAATTTTGTTGTTGCATTTTATGGAAATAAAGTGTAACTGATTCGGCGTCTCCTAGCCCAAGTCTCAATCTTTTAGCATTCTCAATATAATTCCTTGCATCTCGTTCATCAAACGTTAATGCCTCATATCCCCCTGCTTCAACAACCATGGAATGAAAATTCCTCGCCACCCCAATCCCTGCTGCATCGTTCACTTCTAGTCTTCTCTTCACCGGAGTAAGAATCCTCTTATTCATTGCAAAATGTCGTGAGTCAGTAGGATTCAAATCATGAGTGTGCTCAAGCACAACTGTGGTTAACTTATATCTGCCATCATTTTGTAGACTAGCTCTGACCCTTGCTTTGTAATAAATTTTTGATGACAAAGATGGTTCCAAGGGATTTATTTCTGATCTTTTTGTTTTGAACCTCGCCCGAGTACATTCAATTCCAAAATACTTCACTTTCCCATCACTTGTTAGATTTTGTGATCTAAAAGCTATAGCAAATCCACAGTGTTTTGTATATTTTACATAAAATGCGTACACTTCTTGTTTTGAGCTAAAATACATCCCCTTATTGGGTTCTTCAACTTCACCATTTTCGTTAATATAAAGATTGTTATCTTGTTCTTCAACTTCCTCACTCCCATTCAATGAATTATTGTTTGAATCAATATCCATTGTAGCTTCAAAGTTAAATACAATAGACATTGTTAGCTGCAATTTCAAAGGAGGCAAGTAGAATGAATTTTAATTTGCATTTGCATTTGAAACAAAGGGTCAAGTAAAGGCAGCCATGCCATGGATGAGCAGCCACATCTCAATATGCTAATTTTTTACATTCATATTAACAATAATCTCATAACACTATTAATATCAGCTCAGTGAGGAAATATGATTACTAATACTAATTTTTTCTCAAAGTGCAGAATTTGATGTCAAAAAAATATGATTACTAATACATATGATGAAATTTGATGTCAAAAGAAAAAAAAATTGATGTCAAAAAAAAAATATTACTAATATATAGACATGCTAACAGTGAGGAAATTGCAAAAATGAGGTACAGTTTACTAATATAGACATGCTAACAGTGCAGAATTTGATGTCAAAATGAGGTAAAGTTTAATTTGGGTCTACTCAACCAAAAATGAGATACAATTCTACCCATCTCATTGATCCCACATATCTAACCCTCCTTTTACATTGCAGTGATATCAGTCTCTTGGAACTGTCATTTAATTTCACCAATTTGGTTAACTTTTTCTTTCAACCATTTTAATCTCACTTTATAAATCTTCCCATTTTACATTTGATCAATAAATGAAAGTTGACAGAACACAAAATCATGCTAAGGAGCCCCCAACATTCCACGCTTTGAATTCATATTTTACTATTGATGAATAAACCAAGAACAAACAGCTGTAGCGATTTGTACACAAGCTTCATCCAAGAATTCATATTTTATTATTGATGAATATTTTAGTTTAGCTACCAGCCATGGTAGCAACAATCACAGAGCAATGGAAGAGGAATGGCACAAGGGGAAATAAAATGCCAAGAGGAAATACCTTATCCATAACTCAGTGGATAGTCCGATTTGCACACAAGCTTCGTCCTCTTCCACTCCGATCAAACAGCAATAGCGATGCCACAAAGAGACGGTTCCGCTAGGTTACGAACAGACTAGTTCGAAATCAGTGGAGACTCCGATTGCTCTGTGGCACACAAACTTTCTCCTCTCCTACTCCGATCAAACAGTAACAGCGACCAGATGGCTCCGCTAGGTTACGACGACACCGTGCTTAGCTTTCTCTCTACACGGTGCTCCGCTCTGTTCTTATTTTTTGTTTTTGAAATCAAAACAATTGTGGGTGTATCCCGCATAGCAGAGCAGCGAATTCATCAATTCAAGCCACTCTCAAGCCTCGCCTTTCGAGCGGCGTAGTGGGGTCGAAAAAAAAAAGGACAAATTCAAAATGACCCTATTTGCTTCAATCTAATTTGTGGCAGCCTTTTCAATTGTCGTCATCATCAACTAGCAAATTATCAAAAATAAATTAGGGAACAAAAAGAGGATGATAAAACATAATACCATATATTAATAATAATAAAAATATTCCAGATATCATGATTTTTCTTATAAATTCATGTCTGATGGATGGAATTATTAAAGAACATTTTTTGCAAAAACAATTTGGAAATTTGATGTATTGTTTCATAAATTGATTACACCTTCACCAAAATTTGGATGGACATTCTTGCATGTATAAAACAATTAATCAAAAGAAAAAGAAAAAGAAAACACCCAAATGGTTAACAATTTCAAAACTAAACTAGCCTTTGTATTTTATTTTAGTTTTTATTTTTATTTTTTTTGTTGTTGACAACAAATGTGAGTGGTAGGTGGAAAGGATAAAAATAGACACACAAAAAATAAATAAATAAATAAATGCAAATTTCAACTTATCTCTTATGCTCCACTCACCAATCATATCTTGTACATGCTGGCATATAATTGGGGATAATTATTTAGGACATGGTTGAAGAGGGCTTTTATGGGCCTGTCACAGAGTCCGTATCGATGATTTAAACTGTTCAATTTGTACGACTCATCAAGTATTTTATTCTTATAAAAAAAATCATATTAATTACATATTGATAACTACTTGATCAGATCAAGTGGCAATTGGTATCTAATATGCATAATTTTTTACAGAGGTAAGGTACTCGATGAGTTCTACACATTAAATGGTTCGAATCATAGGTGCGGGTTTCGTGGTGAGCCCACAGGGACCCAACAACACCCTCTAATTAGTTTTTCCAACTGAAGAGGAGTATCTCCCAATTATTTATTAGTATTAGAGATTTGGTGTTTTGGGACTGATAAGAGTAATAATTATAACATGAGTGATAGGTAATTTGATCCCTTTTTGAGGTTTGAGTAAATAATATAAGGAAAAATTACTCATAAGTCCCATATTCGAAAATGTTGCTCTATCTAGTCTTGATTGTTTTTTTGTAAACCATTTAGTCCTTTTTATATTTGGTATGGTATTTTTGTTTGTTATATTGTATATACAGTTTACTGATTTGCCCATATTGTGATTTCATTTTTTATTTTGTCCTGCTGTTTGAGTAAGGTATGTTGTAACATTATTTTTTTTAGGAGGCGTTGAGTGGACTGCATTGGGAGCTTGTGATGTTTCCTAGTTGGTGCTTAGTTTCGATTCTCTTGGATTACTTTTGTAGGTTGGGTGTGTGGGTGTTGCTGTTTGGTTCATCTTGGTTTGTACGATTGATGTGCTATGTGAATTACATTTAGGTTGATTTTATTTCAATTTTCTGATTTTGTTTCTAATGAGTTTTCTGATGTTGGCTTGCTATGTTTGGTGGACCATTGTGTTTGTAATGAGGTGTTGTCATTATAGGTTGGTGTTGGTGTTGTCAATCGTGTCGACATCTAAAATGGGGACCGTGAGTGCAACGTTCTCCCTTGGCCGTTACGTCTCGCACTTGGCTGGCTTGAACTTCCTGTAAAAAAAAGAAAACATTATCACATAACCATTCTCGAACACAGTATCGGCCTACTATAAAAACACCATCCAATTTCAACATACTAAATTTGAGCACAACAAATAATTCACAACCTAATATACTATAACGCACAATACCACATGCGTCCAGCACAAACATTGGCTTCTATGCTAACAAAATATGTTTCCATCAACATCCAAAAACACACATGGAAAACTAATGAACATTTACCATGTCCTGTCCATGGCATTAACAACCTGCAGTGTCCCTTACCTTCAAACTATACACAGATCTTAGCTCCATCAAAACCATAAAATACGTAGACCATACGTACTTTCAACCAATTCACTGACACTATATCTCATATCAACGTTCGCATTTGAAATACGTGCCAAGCAAGTCATATACTACAGTGAAACATGCAATATTAACATAACCACATCAATAATTAAGTCATTCAAAATCATGCACAAGCAGGGGACAACAATCCACATCTCGCAAAATATCGTATTACACACATTACTTTTACCACATGAACCAAGTGTTGGTCAAAACATAAAATTAATAACAAACAATAGTTTTTCAATCTCCAACCCATGGATTATTAACTATCATTACCACATCACCAACATCAAGGGTCCCCCACCCACACTAACAAACAAACAACAGGCCTACCATAACACAACAACAAAAACATAAGAACACCCCCGTATGGTTTACTCAACCTAAGATACCAACATACATCACCACAAAACCATAACGTAATAATGGTCACAACAAGAACATCAAGTACACATAACTCCATCCCGTACTTGCCATTAACACACCCCAACATACATTACCTAATACACCATCACCACATCGTACAAACACATTCAACACTGCTAATCGCACATGAGACATCATGTATCACATACATTTTCACCCAATCCACGTGAAACCAAAACCCAGACCTACACTAGAAACCCAAACAATACATACCTGGTCCCATGTGTTACGGCACTGATCTTCGATGACAGTAATGTATAGATGTTGTCCTCACCAATGTTGAATGGACGAAATAGTAATCACAACGTCACGACAAACAAAACGTATTACTATGAAGAAGAGATGTAATTGAATGTTAATTTGGGCAACCAGGGTTTACCAATATACTCAAATGTCAATTTGGGAATTAACATCAACAATACCAAACCAAACAAAAGTCACGGCAAACAAGCTGCACAAATCACTACAACATCGGAATCAAAATCCAAAACCTTCTGTATTCACCGTTATGGCACATGAGGGATACCAGCAAAACATTGCAGTTCGTTGTTGTACGTTTTGGTAAATTGAACATCAATAATATCCCTTATTTACCCTCTGTAGACACCCCATTTTTTACTGTCTTTAAGACTTGAGTGCCACTGATTGATCACTCGATGATGAAAGTTCAATTTCTTCAACAAGAAGAGCTTATAAATCTTAACCTTACACCCCATTTTGGACCAAAACTATTTTGGCCAAAACTATTTTAGAACTTAAAACCCTCTTTTTCAAAATAATTTTGAAAATGTTTCTATGATGTTTCGAGGCTCACATTTCGTTGAAAATATTGTACTTTTCGGTAAACCGAGCAAGGACAAAGTGGAAATAAATGAAAGAGAGGTGAACTCTTTGAATTTTTTTTTAAAACTTCTTATTTATAGGTTTAGAGTTGAAGAAAATAGGAGAGGAGGGAAGAAACCTAGTTGGGGGAGAAGTTGGGCATCAATCCGTTAGGACAGAAATGGGCAGCCTTCACTAAAATAGACATATCTTTTTGCACACTTAGAATTTAGATGTGAGACTACCACCATTGGAAATTAGACTTTTGGAGCTTTAATTTAGACTCAAGAATGATCTAAAATCGAGTCCGGCTGAGGGAGATATAGCCATTTGAAATCGGACCTGGAAGTAGATTTTTGTGGCCAGCCACCATTAGTGGCTTGCCGACCAGAAATTGTGGCCTGCTTGCCAGTTGTGCAAAATTTAGCCATTTGAGTGTTTTGGCCTTCCATGTGTCCCCCACTAGTGGCCTGCCGGCCAAAAGAGATGGCATGCCGACCACTTGTGTCCAAAAATAGATTTTTACAGATATTTGTTGCTAGTTGTTCCCACATTGCTCCACCTATCTCTATAGATATTTTCAA